AATAATGCAGTGTTTACGAAAACCATGGGGAATCTGAGAAAGCGAGTCAATGTCAAGTTGATCAATGACAAGATAAAGCTATCACAATTAACTGCTCGTCCATCGTTTGAATCCTTCTGCCTTTTCTCGTGATTGTGTCAAGCGCAAAGCTTGTGTCAAGGAATGTTTATTATCACGTGAATACGGGATGCATAACGAGATAGCAATGGCAAGCACAGCGAGTAGCAGTTGCATATCAGATGAAGGCGATGGGCATTTGTCTCACGGAAGTTCTTACACTAGTCCGAAGAAATGTCGTTGCAACTGAAGTGCAGGATTGGTAAATCTTTTATGTCAACGACCTGATGAAATTCACAAGCAGGTTATCCGAAAGTATAAGAAGAAACTACCTCCAACAAAATTTCAATTAAAATATAAGAACATCAAAATTTGTCTTGCCAAAGTTCTTACACCAGTTTGAAGAAATGTCGTTACAACTGAACTGCAGAAATGGTATGATCGTTTGTGTGAACCGCCTGATGAAATTGACAAGCACGTTTTCTCAAAGTACAAGAAGAAACTACCTCCAACGAAATTGCTACTAAAATATAAGAACATTAACAACAACAAAGTCCGCAAAGCATACCCTAGAATTGACCGTACTCACGTATAATAAACTTTAAGTAGAACATCGTTTGGAAAAGAATTTCTTTTGAGAAAGTGAATAGGAAATCAACGTTTAGCTGCATTTTGTATCGGCGCGTAGCGCTAGATACTATGCTATCGAGTTGTGGGTGTCTGTGTGTGTGTGTGTGCGTGCGTGCGTTAAACACTCGGGGCGACTAATTAGGGCTTGTACGCCTGCAAACAGGCCGTAAAACAAAGTTGGCGGCTTTCTACTGGGTGAAGAGAAACTGTTTGTTTCACTCGAGGTTGGACTTTAGTCTCCTACGCAGCCTGTTTGCGGGTCCGAGGTTTTTGACTGCTAAATTGTCCGATTGTTATATCCTAGAAGATTGCCCAAAGTAACATCGTAAAGCTTTTTCGTGAGTGACCCTGCATGTTTTTTTAATAATATCAATTGTTGTATTTTAATATTGGTTGGTTTATTCATATATTCATAATTATTTTGTTATGGTACATTCATAGTCACATCATTTAGATTTAAGAATTATTATGTCACGTTAAAATTTTGTTATATGGTGCATTAGTCACAGGGCATCTTATAATTATAGCATTGCTTCGTAAGTTGAGTTAAAGTTAATAAGATGTATTTACAGATTGTATGTATTTTTTCATTTTTATATGGAGCATACATGAATATATGACACATTAATAAATGCCCATTTTGTAACTCTTATTCTGTCTGTTTTTATTATAAAAATGGTAGCTTTCTGACAGTTGATTGTGGTAGAGAAGAGACTGCAATCTGAACATTCTTTATCATATCGTCAAATATAAACAAAGTGACAATACAGCCGGGTATATAGTGAATTGTCGACTATATAGTGACTATAGTTAATTATAAAACTTTTGTTTGTGCTAGCTTTTACCAAGCTTGCCGTTAGCGTATACGGGAAAGGCGCTGCATGCGGAAAGTGAAACGCAGTCCAGGTCGGGTTGTGTTTTGTCTGACTTAACATACTTTTTTCTTAAATAATTTTTAAACTTTTTTCCACCTTTTCTAACTTTCAAAAGGTTGTGCTTAGCAGTTATGACCTTGGACTTGTTAAGATATTTGTGTCGCTAAATTTATGTAAATATTTATGTTGCTAAATCTGATTGACTAACGTAAGACAAAGGGAATGCAATGTTGTGCTCGGGTGAGCAGCCGCTTGTGGGGAGAAACCTCGACACAAAGGGCGTTTGCGAAGAAGACTACTACATAGCCAGCATTTTACTAAATAGCCGGCTGTATAGCCAGCAGTTTACTAAAAAGCCGGCTGCCCGCTGTATAGTGACCTCATCATGTTTGCGTAGCTCATGGTGTTTACTTAATAATTATTACTCAGTACTAATTACAGCAGATGCGCTTTGGCAGCCAAACACCAATTTTCACGTATTCAATTTATAGATAACTAATGGCAAGCACAGCTAGTACCAGTAGCATATCAGATGAAGGAGATGGGTTGCGGTTGGTATATGCCTTACCAAAGTTCTTACACCAGTTTGAAGAAATGCCGTTGCATGCAACTGAACTGCAGAAGTGGTATAATCGTTTGTGTCAACCGCCTGATGAAATTGATAAGCAAGTTTTCGCAAAGTATAAAAAGAAACTACCTCCAACGAAATTGCAATTAAAATATCAGAACATCAACAAAAACAAAGTCCACAAAGCACACCCAAGAATTGACCGCGCACGTATATAATAAACTTTAAGTAGAACGTAAAACATCGTTTGGAAAAGAATTTCTTTTGAGAAAGCAAATAGGAAATAAACGTTTTGCTGCGCTTTTGGTTATGTTGGTTTGGTTAGTTGATAGGACTCTTCCACTTCAGGTCATCTGTAATCAAAACTTCTTGCAATTTAATTTCTTTAACTTTTTCGATTGTGTCACCGCCAATCACCGGAGGAGATGGACTTGTGGGGTTGGCCAGGAATCTAACAAACATCTCTTTAGTTTTCTTCGGATTGCGTTTCATGTCGTTTTATATTGAGAAATCCTTAATATTAGATACTATTGTTGTAGATTTGCAGTAATATATCATTATCGAGGGCCAATCGCTGATCCGCGAGTCTGCTGGTCCGCAAGTCTGCGGTGCGCGAGTCGGCCAATCCGCCAGTATACCGATCCGCCAGTATGAGAAAGATTTCTATACGTTGATGAATAATGCAGTGTTTACGAAAACCATGGGGAATCTGAGAAAGCGAGTCAATGTCAAGTTGATCAATGACAAGATAAAGCTATCACAATTAACTGCTCGTCCATCGTTTGAATCCTTCTGCCTTTTCTCGTGATTGTGTCAAGCGCAAAGCTTGTGTCAAGGAATGTTTATTATCACGTGAATACGGGATGCATAACGAGATAGCAATGGCAAGCACAGCGAGTAGCAGTTGCATATCAGATGAAGGCGATGGGCATTTGTCTCACGGAAGTTCTTACACTAGTCCGAAGAAATGTCGTTGCAACTGAAGTGCAGGATTGGTAAATCTTTTATGTCAACGACCTGATGAAATTCACAAGCAGGTTATCCGAAAGTATAAGAAGAAACTACCTCCAACAAAATTTCAATTAAAATATAAGAACATCAAAATTTGTCTTGCCAAAGTTCTTACACCAGTTTGAAGAAATGTCGTTACAACTGAACTGCAGAAATGGTATGATCGTTTGTGTGAACCGCCTGATGAAATTGACAAGCACGTTTTCTCAAAGTACAAGAAGAAACTACCTCCAACGAAATTGCTACTAAAATATAAGAACATTAACAACAACAAAGTCCGCAAAGCATACCCTAGAATTGACCGTACTCACGTATAATAAACTTTAAGTAGAACATCGTTTGGAAAAGAATTTCTTTTGAGAAAGTGAATAGGAAATCAACGTTTAGCTGCATTTTGTATCGGCGCGTAGCGCTAGATACTATGCTATCGAGTTGTGGGTGTGTGTGCGTGCGTGCGTTAAACACTCGGGGCGACTAATTAGGGCTTGTACGCCTGCGAACAGGCCGTAAAACAAAGATGGCGGCTTTCTACAGGGTGAAGAGAAACTGTTTGTTTCACTCGAGGTTGGACTTTAGTCTCCTACGCAGCCTGTTTGCGGGTCCGAGGTTTTTGACTGCTAAATTGTCCGATTGTTATATCCTAGAAGATTGCCCAAAGTAACATCGTAAAGCTTTTTCGTGAGTGACCCTGCATGTTTTTTTAATAATATCAATTGTTGTATTTTAATATTGGTTGGTTTATTCATATATTCATAATTATTTTGTTATGGTACATTCATAGTCACATCATTTAGATTTAAGAATTATTATGTCACGTTAAAATTTTGTTATATGGTGCATTAGTCACAGGGCATCTTATAATTATAGGATTGCTTCATAAGTTGAGTTAAAGTTAATAAGATGTATTTACAGATTGTATGTATTTTTTCATTTTTATATGGAGCATACATGAATCTATGATACATTAATAAATGCCCATTTTGTAACTCTTATTCTGTCTGTTTTTATTATAAAAATGGTAGCTTTCTGACAGTTGATTGTGGTAGAGAAGAGACGGCAATCTGAACATTCTTTATCATATCGTCAAATATAAACAAAGTGACAATACAGCCGGGTATATAGTGAATTGTCGGCTATATAGTGACTATAGTTAATTATAAAACTTTTGTTTGTGCTAGCTTTTACCAAGCTTGCCGTTAGCGTATACGGGAAAGGCGCTGCATGCGGAAAGTGAAACGCAGTCCAGGTCGGGTTGTGTTTTGTCTGACTTAACATACTTTTTTCTTAAATAATTTCTAAACTTTTTTCCACCTTTTCTAACTTTCAAAAGGTTGTGCTTAGCAGTTATGACCTTGGACTTGTCAAGATATTTATGTCGCTAAATTTATGTAGATATTTATGTTGGTAAATCTGATTGACTAACGTAAGACAAAGGGAATGCAATGTTGTGCTCGGGTGAGCAGCCGCTTGTGGGGAGAAACCTCGACACAAAGGGCGTTTGCGAAGAAGACTACTATATAGCCAGCATTTTACTAAATAGCCGGCTGTATAGCCAGCAGTTTACTAAAAAGCCGGCTGCCGGCTGTATAGTGACCTCATCATGTTTGCGTACCTCATGGTGTTTACTTAATAATTGTTACTCAGTACTAATTACAGCAGATGCGCTTTGGCAGCCAAACACCAATTTTCACGTATTCAATTTATAGATAACTAATGGCAAGCACAGCTAGTACCAGTAGCATATCAGATGGAAGGAGATGGGTTGCGGTTGGTATATGCCTTACCAAAGTTCTTACACCAGTTTGAAGAAATGCCGTTGCATGCAACTGAACTGCAGAAGTGGTATAATCGTTTGTGTCAACCGCCTGATGAAATAGACCTTTCCCCTCATAACCAAAATTTCGATCTAGGCAAGTCTAGACAAATATTTCATCACAGCTTGAAAGAGCATCACAAAATTAGTAATATTCCAAAGTTTCGTTGCGAAATGTTGTAAAATGAGGAAAATAGAGCCTTGCGAAGTTTTCAATTTTCAGTCATTTTGCATTACAAACGGGAAATTGCAGCCCCAACACCCGAATCGGATGTCAATTTCCCGTTTGTAATACAAAATGACTGAAAAACGGCAAACTTCGCAAGGCTATATTATCCGCATTTTACAAGATTCTGCAACAAAACTTTGGAATATTACTACTTTTGTGATGCTCTTTCAAGCTGTGATGAAATTTTTGTCTAGATCGAAATTTTAGTTATAAGGGGAAAGGTCCATTGATAAGCAAGTTTTCGCAAAGTATAAAAAGAAACTACCTCCAACGAAATTGCTATTAAAATATCAGAACATCAACAAAAACAAAGTCCACAAAGCACACCCAAGAATTGACCGCGCACGTATATCATAAACTTTAAGTAGAACGTAAAACATCGTTTGGAAAAGAATTTCTTTTGAGAAAGCAAATAGGAAATAAACGTTTTGCTGCGCTTTTGGTTATGTTGGTTTGGTTAGTTGATAGGACTCTTCCACTTCAGATCATCTGTAATCAAAACTTCTTGCAATTTAATTTCTTTAACTTTTTCGATTGTGTCACCGCCAATCACCGGAGGAGGTGGACTTGTGGGGTTGGCCAGGAATCTAACAAACATCTCTCTAGTTTTCTTCGGATTGCGTTTCATGTCGTTTTATATTGAGAAATCCTTAATATTAGATACTATTGTTGTAGATTTGCAGTAATATATCATTATCGAGAGCCAATCGCTGATCCGCGAGTCTGCTGGTACGCGAGTCTGCTGGTACGCGAGTCTGCTGGTACGCGAGTCTGCCGGTCCGCAAGTCTGCGGTGCGCGAGTCGGCCAATCCGCCAGTATACCGATCCGCCAGTATGAGAAAGATTTCTATACGTTGATGAATAATGCAGTGTTTACGAAAACCATGGGGAATCTGAGAAAGCAAGTCAATGTCAAGTTGATCAATGACAAGATAAAGCTATCACAATTAACTGCTCGTCCATCGTTTGAATCCTTCTGCCTTTTCTCGTGATTGTGTCAAGCGCAAAGCTTGTGTCAAGGAATGTTTATTATCACGTGAATACGGGATGCATAACGAGATAGCAATGGCAAGCACAGCGAGTAGCAGTTGCATATCAGATGAAGGCGATGGGCATTTGTCTCACGGAAGTTCTTACACTAGTCCGAAGAAATGTCGTTGCAACTGAAGTGCAGGATTGGTAAATCTTTTATGTCAACTACCTGATGAAATTCACAAGCACGTTATCCGAAACTATAAGAAGAAACTACCTCCAACAAAATTTCAATTAAAATATAAGAACATCAACATTTGTCTTGCCAAAGTTCTTACACCAGTTTGAAGAAATGTCGTTACAACTGAACTGCAGAAATGGTATGATCGTTTGTGTGAACCGCCTGATGAAATTGACAAGCACGTTTTCTCAAAGTACAAGAAGAAACTACCTCCAACGAAATTGAAACTAAAATATAAAAACATTAACAACAACAAAGTCCGCAAAGCATACCCTAGAATTGACCGTACTCACGTATAATAGACTTTAAGTAGAACATCGTTTGGAAAAAAATTTCTTTTGAGAAAGTGAATAGGAAATCAACGTTTAGCTGCATTTTGTATCTGCGCGTAGCGCTAGATACTATGCTATCGAGTTGTGGGTGTGTGCGTGCGTGCGTTAAACACTCGGGGCGACTAATTAGGGCTTGTACGCCTGCGAACAGGCCGTAAAACAAAGATGGCCGCTTTCTACAGGGTGAAGAGAAACTGTTTGTTTCACTCGAGGTTGGACTTTAGTCTCCTACGCAGCCTGTTTGCGGGTCCGAGGTTTTTGACTGCTAAATTGTCCGATTGTTATATCCTAGAAGATTGCCCAAAGTAACATCGTAAAGCTTTTTCGTGAATGACCCTGCATGTTTTTTTAATATCAATTGTTGTATTTTAATATTGGTTGGTTTATTCATATATTCATAATTATTTTGTTATGGTACATTCATAGTCACATCATTTAGATTTAAGAATTATTATGTTACGTTAAAATTTTGTTATATGGTGCATTAGTCACAGGGCATCTTATAATTATAGGATTGCTTCATAAGTTGAGTTAAAGTTAATAAGATGTATTTACAGATTGTATGTATTTTTCATTTTTATATGGAGCATACATGAATATATGATACATTAATAAATGCCCATTTTGTAACTCTTATTCTGTCTGTTTTTATTATAAAAATGGTAGCTTTCTGACAGTTGATTGTGGTAGAGAAGAGACTGCAATCTGAACATTCTTTATCATATCGTCAAATATAAACAAAGTGAAAATACAGCCGGGTATATAGTGAATTGTCGACTATATAGTGACTATAGTTAATTATAAAACTTTTGTTTGTGCTAGCTTTTACCAAGCTTGGCGCTAGCGTATACGGGAAAGGCGCTGCATGCGGAAAGTGAAACGCAGTCCAGGTCGGGTTGTGTTTTGTCTGACTTAACATACTTTTTTCTTAAATAATTTTTAAACTTTTTTCCACCTTTTCTAACTTTCAAAAGGTTGTGCTTAGCAGTTATGACCTTGGACTTGTTAAGATATTTGTGTCGCTAAATTTATGTAGATATTTATGTTGGTAAATCTGATTGACTAACGTAAGACAAAGGGAATGCAATGTTGTGCTCGGGTGAGCAGCCGCTTGTGGGGAGAAACCTAGACACAAAGAGCGTTTGCGAAGAAGACAACTATATAGCCAGCATTTTACTAAATAGCCGGCTGTATAGCCAGCAGTTTACTAAAAAGCCGGCTGCCGGCTGTATAGTGACTTCAAAAATATATAAATGTTTACTCAATAATTGTGCATGAAATTTCTTTCATAGGAACGATGCAATTTCTTTGCGCAGATACATGTACCTATTTTTGGTTATGGAGTTGATACGACTCTTCCAATTCTGGTGATCTGTAATCAAAACTCCTAGCAATTTAGTTTCTTAAACTATTTCAATTGGGTCACCGTCAATCACTTGGAGGGTTGACCAGCAAGCTAACAAACATCTATTTAGTTTTCATCGGATTGAGTTTCATATTGACAAATCCTTAATATTAGAGACTGTTGTTGTGGATTTACAGTACGTAATATATCGACATCGAGAGCCAGTCCGCTGATACGGAAGTCTGTCGAGTCCGCATTTTACCCGCACCGCTTTTTGCAGCGTGTTTTACAAATTGAAGTCTCACAGGTGTCAAGGTCATCAAGTAAGTCACTGCAATAAATACATAATTTAGATGCGCGAATTGTGACTCATCTGCGCGAATTGTGACTAATCTGAGGCAGATTCTAGCCATTTGATTGGTTCATTTGCGTTTTGACAAATCTTCGCGGGGGTCTGACTCATTTGCGCAATGTTCCAGCTTTCTGATTGGCTGTTTAAAGAAATATTCTGCTTTCTCATTGGCTTAATTCGTTTGACTCATCTCGGCTTATCTTGACTAATTCACTGCGTGGGGTATTCAGCAATCTTCAGTCAATAAGTAATGATAATAAAGTTTTTCTGACTGGTTCTTGACTGCGAAGGTTCAAATTTGTTGGAGTTCTATCCAGTATCGATTGCTTTTATTGATACGAATTGGCAATGTCAATTTACGAGACTGTTCAGCCTTCGTTTCAGAGTAACGATCTAAAGTCCATGCAAAGGCTGAATACAGATCTTTTTAAGGAAATTCACGCTTCAAATGCAAGATCTGTCCAGGGGCTTTTAGACGCCATGTATGACACCAATAACGGGCTGTGGAGAAATTTTCGCACGGAAATTTTCATACCCTCGCATGCTCGGCAAGAAATTTCCAGTCAAGAAATACCTGGATGTTGAAGTGATGTCTGACAAGTTTCAACAATGTCAAAAATGGGCTATTCCAGTTAATATGCGTTACCCCCTATCGAGGACCTTGGAATTCTTCAGGGATAAGGTAATTTTTAACCCTGGAATTCCTCATGGGTGAACAAATTCTCCGGTGGAATTCTTCAGGGGTTGGTTATTTTGAATGAGATTTCCTCGGGGGTCAGATGTAAAAATTGATATTCTTCAGGAGTAAATGCTGATTTCTTCAGAGGTAAATGCCATTTATCAGGAATTCTTCAGGGTATGTTTTTATGTCAGGAATTCATCAGGGATATGGTAAAACCCTTGTCCTCGATAGGGGGTTACGCCTTTTATGAAGAGTGGAAGGCAAACCATCACTACAAGATCAACCACACAGGAAGCGGAAACAGCATGGAAACGGTTGGTGCTGTTAGGACTTTTGAACGGTCCTATGTTAAACGGGGACTTAAATACAAGAACATGGCTAGAGGATGGTGATTCTGCCACATACAGCAGTTTTGTTGATAGTAAGCCTTATGGAGATGAGTCTGTGCCAAAGAAATTGGAGGTCCAAAAACGAGTCGGGAGCAGGTTACGGAAGTTGAAGAGTACCTATAAAGGGACAAAGCTGAGTGATGAGAAAAGTTTGGCAGGTAAAGGAAGGCTATCACAGATGGTAAAATAGATGTTTTACAGAACTATTGTGGTCTGGCAGCAAGAGAGAATTTGGATGATGTTGCTAAAATGGCCAAGGCCATGAAGGCAACTCTTTACCATGTTGCGTCATCTGATGAGAAACCACAACATCATCTCTGCCCTGATGGAGAGGACAGAGGACAGTTGGTGTGAGTACAAGAGAGATTAAGAGTCCTACAAGCACAATAATGGCATTCCAGGGTGCATTGTTATATTAATTGAACCAATATTTGCTGACCTAAGTAAGCCCGACCTGTTGCGGAAGTGTACGCATGGCTTGACGCAGAATGTTAACGAATGCTTGAACAGTATGACCTGGGAGCAAGAAACTGTAGCCCTGGCTACTTGTTTGGCTGTCCTCAAGTTAAATGATGGAGATCTATCCTTTCTGAAAGTATTTGAGGACTTGGACATTACTCCAGGTGTCTTCACTTGTAAAGGTGCCCAAGATTGCGACACCACCCGAATCATATTAAACTGTGGGCCAAAAAGTGCAAAGATAACGTCAAGATCAGAAAAGCGTTGAGACAACTCAGAAACAGCTATATAGACTCTACTGAGGCAAATGAAGGCATAATATATGAAGCAGGTAGCATCCGAACCGTTTTAGGCAAACGAACATGAAAGGAAACTTTAACATTACATTTTCCTCATTCGGTGATTTTGCAATCACGAGTAATCTTTGTGACACCTATCTTTTTTTAATATTTGGGGTAGAAGGTTGAGACTTGGTATACTTATTGTATATACCTTTAGCTAGGACCCGGCAATCGTCAAATGTCATGATTTTTTATTATTAGTGATTTCTGGCATATTTTCCTACTAATTAGCAATTAAAAATTCAAATTACCGAGCTATTACAAGAAATTACGAAATATCACTAAAATACATATTGAAATGTCAGAATCGCAGAGCATAATTTGGCCGGTGTACTAATTAAAGCAGAAACGCTTTGGCTTCCAAACACCAATTTTCATGTACTTCATTTATAGATAACTAATGGCAAGCATATCAAGTACCAGTTACATATCAGATGAAGGAGATGGGTTGTGGTTGGCATTTGTCTTGCCAAAGTTCTTACATCAGTTTGAAGAAATGTCGTTGCAACTGAACTACAAAAATGGTATAATCGTTTGTGTCAACCGCCTGATGAAACTGACAAGCACGTTTTCGCAAAGTATAAGAAGAAACTACCTCCAACGAAATTGCAACTAAAATATAAGAACATCAACAACAACAAAGTCCAAAAAGCATATAAACTTTACGTAGAACATCGTCCGGAAAAGAATTTCTTTTGAGAAAGTGAATAGGAACTAAACGTTTTGCTGCATTTATGGTTCTGGAGTTGATATGCATGACTCTTCCACTTCAGGTAATTTGTAATCAAAAGTCATAGCAATTTACAATAGCGTGTTTTACAAATTGAAGTCTCACAGGTGTCATTGTCAAATCACTGCAATACACGATTAATTTAGAATCCTGTATAAACATTTATACGACAAGATCCAAACTGCACACAAAAATCACGCCACTGATCCACATTGTAATAAGCTTCCTTAGCCAATGAGGTGGCAAGTACAGGCTGTACAGCAATTGAATGCCAGAAGAAATCTCCAACAGAACAACCATATTTAACAATCATTTCACATTGAATGTGCTGAATACTGGTAAACGGTTAATAAAGAGATGAATAATTAAACACAAACGAACGCGGTTATTGTGTTTATATATTAGATCCTCAACCGAAGTAACGAAATGACCATCGTCATAATTGCAGAACTCTATCCAGGGACCACAGACGAGACCTGCAGTAATCGATTTTTTTACGGGCAAACCTAATACTAACTTACGAAATACCAGTACAAAACAAATTATTACAAAGCGTCAGAATAAACAGTACAGAATAGTATATAATAAGCGTGTGATTTCTGATAATTATTTTAACACAATCCCTTATGGATTCTAGCTGTAATAATTACCTCACTTAATTAACTTAATTAAATGCAGTAAACGATCGAACACAATGAATAAAGTTGAACCGTCACATAATGACCAGCTTCAAAATTAGCGATTCTAATGACAGTAATTTTCTTTATATAAGGAGGACACAATTTCAAGTTTATCACACTTGGTCAAAATGGAGAGAGTCAGTGGACAAGAACAGTGCGTTCGAAACAAAGAAAATATCGCAAACGAAAAAGGGAGCAATTTGAATATTTTAAAAAAATGAAAAAGTACTTCAAAGAAAATAACTATCGTTTCAAAACATTGTACACCAACACAGCCAAGAAGAAGTTGATGAGATAATTGAAAGCCTTGGTTTTTGAGGCAAGAAATGATCTGACGAAACTGGCCGATGAACAGGCTGTTCAAGATAAGAAACGTGATAAACTGAATTGAAACTATTGTAAAAGGACCATTGACCTTTGTTATGTGAACCTTTTAACTTTGTTTGGTTATTAAGGTTAGGATGCGCACGCACCTGTGGACAATGAACAATGCACCTTGTCTTATGTAAATAGATATCGATACGCACATGCATTCGAGAGAATTGGAACATAGCACGCACTGGGGAAACATTAAAAGATATTAAGAAAGATATACATATTGAAATTTTACTTGTTGTGGATCTAATCAAGCTTTCCCCCTAACGGCCTCGACGATCCCGCGGGTTGCTATATAATAACAACGAATAAAGAAGTCGTTTTAAACTATACTGACCGATGAACCATTAATATGTTTACTTAGTGAGTCCATAATAACGAGATCAGCCTCCCACTGTGCATCAAAGTCACCCACTAAAACCCTATTGCGTTTAAAATGGAACCGTACGGGCTAGTGTAATGTTTACGTGTCTTGCTTTTTTAATTAACCATGACCGTATTCTATTCCGCAATATTTGATGCTTTCCTTCCTCTTTTACAACACGGTAAATTGAATCTACGCATCTGGATTGTAGTACAGTTGGCTTAGATATTTTCCTGCCATCAATGTTAGAGGCTTGAATCACAATACTCCCTCCACAACAAGCGGAAATATAGCGGATCCTCCGAAATATATTACGTTGAGCTATTTTTGGGAAACCCTCACAACAACAAGTCATGCCTACGCCTCAACGGTCAGTATCAAATGAACAACGCATGGTAATTTGGACGATACTTAAGTGACATTTTCTGTGAGATTTCTACAGTATACAAGAACGTTGACAGAAAACGAAATTGCTATTGCCTATTTATAATAATTTTACTATCGATATCAGCATGTTGTTATTTAAATTATAACAGTATGATCGTATTATTTTAATAAAATCACCGCGTTATTATTTCATTGATAACGGTATTCTGTTTCTCTGATCACGACATCATTTTGTGTTAGATTTTAATGACCACAAGACGCTAATAGTCCTTATGCATAATCACGTCACAAGGCTTGATGCCCGCGACGAATGCTGGTCTTAGTAGTCAGCGCCCGGGAAAATTAAACAATTCAAAATGGCCACTATCGAAATTTTCCCGGACGATGACTACCAAGACCAGCATTCCTCGCGGGCATCAAGCCTTGTGACGTCATTATGCATAAGGTCTATTGATGCTTTATTGAATTCGGTTTAATGATACCGATATCAGCATGTAATTACTTAAATGATAACGGTATCATATTGTTATTCTAATAAAGAATCGATATCACTAATTAAGATTCAAGGTAGCGTGATCGCTAATTGATGTTAATGGCTTTTCGTTTGTTACATAATCCTTCCTATTGTTACGTCATTGTCGGCACCCTTTGGCCCCTATATGGGGGGGGGGGGTATCTACCATTATGAAATAATGAAAGGACACAGTCGCCACAGAGCCCATACCCTAACCTGAAGTTCAGGCCCTAATTTGAAATAGGGCCTGACACAAAACCTGTCTAGACCGTGGGACGCCCACATTTATTTTTAGACACACATGCAATATGATTGACAAGTGTTGTAGATTTCGTTACACAAAAAAATTATATTCTCATGAACATGTCCGCAGAGCATTTTGC